CTGAGGCTTCACAATGTGACCAACACACCCCTTTGTCCCTACAGGAGATCAGGCAAATCCTTAGTTACAGAATCCAAAGCCTCTTGTGGAGGATCAGTTCTGGTTAAGCTGCCTCTGTGTGATGGATCTGGGCCACCTGGGGTTTTGGTTTCTCTTAGCAGAGGCTGCTTTAAGCAGCCCGTGGGGCTGGTGGCCATGCAGCTCTCTGGGTCCTTGCCCAGGGAGGTGTTGGCCTGCATGTCACAACATCCTCTTGGAGCAACTCTGTCAGAGTGAAACCTGGACATGCTTTCCATCAAGGACGTGAGCCTGGAAAGAGAGATGTGCCCATTTAGGATCTTTGGCAAAAGCTCTTCTTAAAAAAAGAAAAAGCTCTTTTGTAGAATTTCACAGAATTGACTTCAGCTTCATAATCGGGGCCCAGAGCATCACTTTTGGTCTCTTTTTTTCTCCTTTTTTTTTTTCCTTCAGAATTCATGCTTTAAAATGCTGGATATGCCTCAGCTACAACGCCTGGGAGGCAGGACACAGAGGAGGGGGCCTCATTTACAGGGATGTGGCAGAGAAAGATTGTGTTTTGTGGTCAAAAATTGTCATTTTATATCTGGAGGTAATGAAAAAGACGGAAAGGTACTGATAGAGAGGGGATACATCAAGGGTCTGGCTGTGATCAGTGTCCTGTGGCCATCTGGGGGCTTGGGATGATGACCATGGAAGTGTCCCTCACATTCCTCCTGTCACATGAGAGACGTTGGCCTTGTACATTAGTGGATTTTCATTAAGCTGGTTTGACACTCCAGGGGTGGTTTTGGCTTGGTTTATTTCTCCAGCAATTTGGAGAAGCCACAGGGCTCCACTAAGAGGAATCTGAGGCCATCCCTGACAAAGAGGATGCAGAAAAGTGCCTCTCAAGGGCTGAAATGATTCGTTTCGCCTCAAAATGACGTTGGGGCTCAAGGGCTTCAGTCATGAGAAGTGTTTCCATCCTCTGTGGAATGAAGCTCTGTTTATTTTTTGCGTTGTTGCTACACCAGCAGACACCATTGGGATAAATCTGCCTCTGCTCACACCCTCATGGGTGATGTCTCAGGGTGATTGTGGCTCTGAGAGTGGGGACGCTCCATATCTGATCTCCTCTGTGTGTCACAGGGCACAGTCACCTCTCTGGACGGCTGTGTCATGAGCCAGCTGAAGCTTTTTCTCCCAGCTACACCTGGGAAAGTCACTCTGAGGTCTGGCTGACTCCACTATAAACTGGTTTCAAACTCAGACACCCAGTCCCAGCCCATCCCTGACTCACAGAACTGGGAGCCTCTCTCTGCACCCCAGCTCCTCATCTGGGGTCAAGGTGTGACCACGTTTCGTGGCTTTGCAGAGCTCAGTGCTCTCAGTGAAAATTGAGGATGTTTAAATTGAGGGTGTTTAAAGAGAAGACAGAGCCCAACTTTCCCCAGAGGTGCACAGTGAAGAGGACAGTAGAAAGGGACACAAGGGACAATGAGCAAAGTTCCAGTGGAATGTGAGAAAAGGCTTCTTCCCCTCAAGAGTGAGGCTGGTGCTCAGAGAGCCCGTGGGATTACTGTCATGGACATGTTTGGATCCCAGCTGGACACAGTCCTGAGCAAAGTGATCTGATTTTGAAATTACTCTGCCGTGCACTTGGACCAGAAACATCCAGGGGTCACTTCTGACCTGAATCTTCCTGGGATTTTACTCTTGTGCACTCCCCTGGTGTCTGTGATAACAGGAGTGGTTTCTGAGGAGACAGTGGGGAGGTTCCTGCCCATCCAGAGGCACTGCCTTGCCCCAGGTGTAGGAAAAGCGCTGAAGATGCTGTAGTCACTCATCTCACCTGCCTCCTCCCACCCTGCAGCACATTTGCCTCATTAAGGCTCATCAGATGAGCTCCACCTCATCCATTTGGGTCTTTTCCTGGGCCAAACTGGGGCGGGTTCCCCAGGTACACAGCAGCCTGGCCTGGCTGCTCACAAATGAGTCACACACATCTTCCTGGACCTGGATACCTTGTGCAGCTTCCTCAGCACAGCCTGGAGAAGCAGGAGATCCCTTGCAGGATCTGTGTACTCCCAGATTGTGGAGTGCATGGAACTGGAAGAGCGACATCCCGGAGACCTCACTCCCACCAGGAGGAACCTGAAGCTGAGGAGCTTCTCCAGCTGCAAGGCCATTGAACCTATGTCTAAATCACAAGGTGTGGCCACATCCGATTTCTGTGGTGGGACAGGTCTGTCTGTGTGTGGCCCCTGTCCTGAAATAGCCTGTCTAAATCATGGGATGTTGCCACATCCCGGTGGGACAGGTCTGTGCAGCCCCTGTCCTGGGATAGCCCGTACGAGTGTGGGATCAGTTCCCAGAGCAGATGCCAGAGAGACCCCGGGCTGTGCTCCCCCCTCAGTCCTGTCCCTTCCAAGCTGCAGGGCACCTGGAGCACAGTCACATCTCCCTTCCAAGGCTTGGCTCCAGAGAGAGATAAATGTCTTGAAAATCACAGATGTCCTATGAAATCTGTGTTGACAGGGAAGCAGCAAGCTCCAGCAAGAGCTGACAGGCTCCAGAAATGTTACCTGTGTTTTATCTTAACGCCGGCATGAGAAGCTATTCCCAGGAGTGTGCAAAGATGTGGCCTGAAGCAGTGGGACAGGAGGGAGGCAATGCCTTGCCCATGGAGCAAGGGCAGGGCTGAGGTGATACAGAGGGTTTCAGACTGGTGGGTAATGGGGCTTGGCTTCGCCAGGAATGGATGGAAGGATTAGTCTCAGGATCTGTTAGGATCCCAGAATTGTTTGGGTTGGAAGGGACCTTACAGCTCATCTCATTCCACCCCCTGCCATGGGCTGGGACACCTTCCACTAGACCACCTTGCTCCAACCTGGCCTTGAACACTTCCAGTGATGGAAGTCCTCTGCCCTCCTTCAGTTTTACTAAGTTCTGGACAAAACTAGAGCTCAGCAACACTCTGCTGAAGCTAATAGACATCAGGATTCCTTCAGGAGTGGGGAAACCCAGGCAGGTGAAGGGAAACCCAGGCAGCAGTGTGGTGGCTTTACCCATACCCAGCCCCTTGGCACACAGACACTGAACATCCTGGGAGCTGCAGTGCTCTGAGTCCAGAAAACCAGCAGTGAAGAGGCAGATGGTGGATCAGAAAACTGGCTTTTGTGGGTGTATTTGAGAGGAGCAGCTCCATGGTAATTCCTTGCAGTGCTGTGCAGGAGCACTCTGGAGCCACGCTGCTCCAAGTACCATGGTCCTACTGCTGCAATCCCAGCTGGCACAGCTCCTGTTGCTGCCCAGGATGCCAAGGGGAGCCAGCCTGGGGATAGGTGTGAGGCATTGCTTTGTGTGCTGCTCCTCTGAGCTGTGTCTCAGAGCTGTCAAATGAGTTATTCTTCATGAAATATTGAAAGGGTTGGACTTGGTAAAAGCCCATCTGAGTGCAAACCTCTCTGCATCCATTTGTATCCAGGCCTAGCATGCAAGTGATGGGGAAGCTTTCATGCTCCTGCCCCAGTCCTCTCCCACCCCTGAGGCTTCCCCTCTGCCCTGGAGCTGCTGGAGTGGTGAGTCTGTGCTGGCAGACGTGCCAGGGCTAACGCTCGGCTGGAGTTCACACTCTCCAGGGCAGGGCTGGCGCTGGGTGAGGTCTGGAAAGGCCTTGGACTGATGTGGATGTGTCAGCAGTGCCGTGGGCAAGGTGGGCAGGGTGGGCAAGGTGCTCAGCTCGCTGCTCTCAGTGCAGAGGAGAGGAGGCAGCACAGGCACCCATGTGTGTGTCAGCCCTCCAGCAAGGGGGGGTGGCTGATCCTGCAGTGCTGTGGCATCTCTGCTGTCAGTACCTAGAACCAGAGAATCACAGGTTGTCCTGAGCTGGGAGGCACCCCCAAGAATCATCCATTCCAACTCCTGGCCCTTCACAGGGCACCCCAGCAATCCCACTGTGTCCCTGAAAGCGTTGTCCAAACTCTGCCCTGGGGCCATGACCACTGCCCTGGGGAGCCTGTTGAGTGCCTGGCCACCCTCTGGGGGAAGAACCTTTTCCTGAGATCCAACCCTGACACACCTTCAGCGCCGATGAGCTCTGCAGCCTCCTGATCCAGCTGGATTACAGGCAGCCCAGGCTGTTGGCTCACCTGCCCCAGGCTCCGCAGCAGGATCAGAGCTGGTCGGAGTTTCCCAGGGAGGTGGCAGCTCCGTGCCGTGGTCCCAGCCCCACGGGCCTGTCAGAACAGCTCCCCAGGACAGCTTTCCCACGCCGTGGCACCAGCGCTGTTCCCACCTGGCCCCGTGTCAAAGCCACGGCGGCGACGTGGGGGCCACGCGGTGGCAGCTGCCCGGGAAGGGCCCTTTGTGCCCGTGGGATGAGTGGCATCTGGGGGGTGCTGGTTGCAGGGGCCGGGCCGGCCGGGCGGCTCTGCATTGTCAGCGTGTCGGGTCAGGTTTGTGTTGCCTGCTCACGCTGCTGGATGTGCTGGATGCACCTCCCGTGGTTGGAGTGTGCAGCTCGCAGACCCCACACGCCCCAGCCGAGGAGCTTCCCCTGCCCTCCAGAGACTTGGGAAGCTCCTCCCAGGCCTTGGAAAGCTGCCCTATGCAAATGGCAAAGTGCAAAGCCCCCGATTTCCCCATGGCAAGCGGGAAGGATTGCATGTTACTGGGCTGGTGGGGCTTTTCCCAGCTGGAACAATGCTGTGCTTGCTCCAACCCTGGGCTTGTTTTGCCTTGGAATGATGCGTTTTCCTGCTGGAGACGCTGCCCCATGTGTTTTCTAATTACAAACTCAGTGGAAACATTTTTTTTCCTTCCCTAACTGCTCTCTACAAACAGCAAAATCCAGGATCTCCTGACCACTGAACTGGGAGTGAATTCCACAGCTCCAAACATCAGTAACCCACCTGCCTGCCTCCAGCCTGGGCTGTGGGTCCCACCTGGTGCTGGTGTCTGACTGAGGTCCCTCTCTTGCTCTCTTTCTTCCAGCTCCTTCTGCTGTGTCCATCATGCACCAGGTGAGCCGCACCGTTGACAGCATCACCCTCTCCTGGTCCCAGCCTGACCAGCCCAATGGAGTCATCCTGGACTACGAGCTGCAGTATTACGAGAAGGTACCACAGGGATCACCCACAGCTTTGGGGGAGAGGAGGGGGTACAGAGCTCTGCTTAGGGGTGTAACACCAGCTACAGCACTTGGCTGATCAGCAGGTTACTTCTCTTGCTGCACTTGGCCATGGGGGTGGCAGTGGCCATCAGCCCTCCAGACTCCAGTCCCAGTGACCCAAGTGTGGAAAATCTGCTGGTCATTCAGGAGGAGCTTCTCCCTTCTCCCTTCACCTCCACAGCACGCGGGGCAGGTGGACCCACTGCAGGGAGAGCTGGGTAGCCAAGAGTCTGGTTTTTCTCTTCCCTGTACTGGAAGAATGGGGATTGGTGGCAATATCCAGTCCAGGCCAGAGCACACTTTTTGGGTGTCCCATCCTGGAGGTTTTATGGAATGCTGTCCCCGGATGCATTTGCACCAAAGGTGAGTTTGGCATATGTTTAGCATCCTGAACCTCGGTGCTGTACCAGGGAGAACCTGTCCCATGCTCCCATGGAGGGTCCACGCTGCGTGATGGGGTCGGTGTGAAGGGGTCCTGCAGCTCTGGCTCTTTCATCCCGGAGGAACGTGCCCCTTCCACCATCTCCCTACGCAGAAGAGCAGAGGGATTTCAGTCTGGACTATGCCAGGGTGTCCACCCCATGGGGCTGGAGTTGTGTGGCTGCTTAGAGACCTGAAGACCACGTAGGTGTTAGTCCCAGGACCTGCCAGGCTCTGCTGGTGAACTCCATCCGTGCGACCCAGGGGAGATGGGGAGCTGGAGATTTCTCCTTTTGGGAATCTGCCCCCTTACACAAGAGCTTATAAACATTATACGTTATAAATTGCAAACTAACTAATTAAAAAGCTTTATGATTAAATGGAACTGAAAATATTTTTCCCAGCAGTTGCCGGAAGAAATGATTAATCCCCCCCACTGCCTGCCTGTGACCTATTTTCTCATCACCAAGAGCCAGAGGGAGAACAGGGAGGAGGGGGTGCTCCTTTGTAAGCTGTTAAATAGGTCCTGACCTATATTGCATAAATCACAGCCATTTATTTGACCCTTGGAAACGATCCCAGAATATGTGGCAAGATAGATGAGTAGATAACAAGACAGATCTGGAAAGCAAGAGGGGCCTGTTCCCTGGGGACCCTCAATGTAGAAGCTGAAGACCTGAAGGAGTTCATTCTCCTCCTCTTACTTTCTCTTAATCTCTCACCCTCTTTCTTTCATCCCTCTCCCCTCTGTTTTCTGGGGGAGGCTGTAAATAAAGGGAATTTTTGTCTAAAACATTGTGCTGCTGGTGATGGTTGGTCTTTGCAGGCAGCCACAAGGTGAGTGTTGTCAGAGCTTAGGGCACTGTGTCCCTGGTGATAGGGACAAGTGGCCCAAGCCACTCTCAGGCATCAGGGAGAGAGCACAGAGGACAACACGAGCAGCCCCATGTGCTGGGTGCTCTCTGTCCTGGTATTTCATTAAGTTATGGAATCATCCCAGAATGAGTTTGGGTTGGAGGGATCTTAAAGCTCATCTCATCCCACCCCCTGCCATGAGCAGGGACACTTTCCACTATCCCATGTTGCTCCAAGCCCTGTCCAACCTGAACTCCCAGGGATGGGGCAGCCACAGCTTCTCTGGGCAACCTGTGCCAGGGCCTCCCCACCCTCACAAGGAAGGATTTCTTCCCAATATCCCACCTAACCCTGCCCTCTGCCATTCCCTCTTGTCCTGTTCCTCCATCCCTTGTCCCAAGTCCCTCTCCAGCTCTCCTGGAGCCCCTTTAGGCACTGGAAGGGGCTCTCAGGTCTCCCAGGACTTTCCCTTCTCCATTTGACCCCCCCCAGCTCTCCCAGCCTGGCTCCAGAGCAGAGGGGCTCCAGCCCTTGGAGCAGCTCCATGGCCCCCTCTGGACTCGCTCCAGCAGCTCCACGTCCTTCTTGTGCTGGGCCCCCAGGGCTGGAGGCAGCTCTGCAGGGGGGTCTCACCTGAGCAGAGCAGAGGGGCAGAATCATCTAAACCTCAGGGTACCTTTTTTTTTTCTGTTTCTTTGGTTGAAGAACAGCAGGGCTGTGACTCCTCCCCAAGCAAGGGATGTGTGTATGTACACAAGGACACTCTGTCCTGCTCGGGCTGATGGGCCAGAGGTTAATCCCTGAATCCCAGGTCAGTCCCTGAATCCCAGGTTAGTTCCTGAATCCCAGGTNCCAGGTCAGTCCCTGAATCCCAGGTTAGTTCCTGAATCCCAGGTCAGTCCCTGAATCCCAGGTCAGTCCCTGAATCCCAGGTTAGTTCCTGAATCTCAGGTTAGTCCCTGAATCCCAGATTAGTCCCTGAATCTCAGGTTAGTCCCTGAATCCCAGGTTAGTCCCTGAATCCCAGGTTAGTCCCTAAATCCCAGGTCAGTCCCTGAATCCCAGGTTAGTCCCTGAATCCCAGATTAGTTCCTGAATCCCAGATTAGTTCCTGAATCCCAGGTTAGTTCCTGAATCCCAGGTTAGACCCTAAATCCCAGGTTAGTCCCTGAATCCCAGGTTAGTCCCTGAATCCCAGGTTAGTCCCTGAATCCCAGGTTAGTCCGGCCACTGCAGGGCTGAGTTTTGCAATTGAAAGCCATTTACTGGATGCTTGGGAACACTCCCAAAATGCAGGGCTTTGGCTCTGCTGTGTCTCCCCCTACTTCCCATCAATCTTGCAGTTGGATAGGGTGTGTGATACACCCCAGGTGTGTTCTCAGTCTCTGCAGAGGTGATTTCCTTCCAAAGATTTCACTGCAAACTGTCCCTCATGCTTTCTGAATGCTCAGCAAAGATCTCTGGAGCTGTTTTAAGTTGTTTCCACTGGAATTTTTTTTTTTCCCCAGTAGAAAATTATGTTTTATTTTCGTGAAAATAGCTCCAATGACAAATAGCAGCACACACATTTTGTATAAAAAGTGCCTTGGCTCTTCATTTTGAACCGATTCTCTTCTATGTAAAGACGTAAATTAAATAAAAAAAAAAATTGGAAGAAATTATTTTAGCATTGACTGAAAAGAGCCCCTCACAATACCTGAAACAAAGATATATTTTTGTTTCCCTTTCACAGATTATTTATAACATTGCTATTCTTAGGTGCTATTAAAGGTGCCTGTACAAAGGCAACATTAAGAGTTGCTTTCACGTGGAGTTGGAGGGAATCAGTGCAGGTCGTTGTGCAAACCCTGCCTGACGTGGCTGCTCTCTGTGTTTTTTAATGTGGCTTTTTTCCCACTTCCAAGAGGTACCTGCCAACATTTGCCTTACTGAAAGAAGTGTGTATTGTCTTCATGTAGAAAGGGCAGAGCAATTTTTGGCCAAAGTTGCCAAACTCATCCCAGAGTGTGGGAACTGGAGAGCCACTGCGGTGTCAAGCACTGCAAAGGGTAATCAGCTCTCCTCGTTATGCAAAATGATTGGGCTTGATTATGCTCATTTTGTAATTGTTTGAAGACATTCAGCCCGGTTTGGTCACCAGTGTAATAGTTTAGGAGGCAAAGGAGCCCTTTGATGTCTCCTGGGCTGGCTGGGAGAGGTGACCTGTGCCAGCTGGAGCTGGAGGTGGGAGTAGAGCCCTTGTGGTGCCTGGGAGCTCCTGGTCAGAGCCCAACAGCCCCAGGACGGGGTGTCCTCAGGGCTTGGACCAAGGATGCTGGAAGTGCTGCTCCTGGGCTGGCTCAGGGGACTTCAGGGAGGTGCAATGAGATGGTCCCTTCCAACCCAAACCATTCCACGATTCTCTGAGTGTTTCGACTCCATCCTGCAGTGTTGGACACCAGAATCCCTGAGCTCGGAGCCAAAGCTGCTGCCTGGCATTTCCCACCTGTCCCCAGGATGGAGCGAGAGCTGGGATAGCCATTCCCCCTTCATGCTGCCCAAAGGAGTGGGAAAACTGTGAGATCAAGAAGATGAAGAGGAAGCCTTGCCAGGGAGACCTGGGACAGCTTTCCTGCATTCCCAGTCCCTGCCTGGGGCCCACACTGGGCCTGTCCACTGGCCTGGACTGTCCACTGTCTAGGACTCAGTTTTCTTGTGAGAGGCATCCAGACACTCTTAGCACTTAGTATCATGGAATCAGAGAATATTTAAGGTTGGAAAAGACCTCCAAGATCATTAAGTCCTGCCTTCACCCCGGTGCCCACTAAACCGTATTGCCAAGTGCAACATCTACTTGTTTTATTGAACAATTTCATGGCTGGTGTCTCCACCACTGCCCTGGGCAGCCTGTGCCAATGCCTGACCACCCTTGCCATGAAGAAATTTTTCCTAATATCCAGCCCCAATTTCCCCTGGCACAGCTTGAGGCCATTCCCCCTTGCCCCACGCGACTGGATACCTGGCTGAGAGGACGAATGCTCTCGAGATGTGAAGCCCCACGAGAGTCCAAGGCTCTGCAGACCCCACGGATCCACCTCCAGAGTGGCTGGCAGGACCCTCTCCCCACACCTGAGCATCCCCCACGCCACGAGGGCTGAAGTCCAGCTGTGTGTGATGGTCTGATCATGGCAGATTGGGCTGTTCAGGCACACAGGAGCTCTCTGCCAAATTAAGCCAGTTGACATTTTTCCTTGGCTTTTTTATTTTTTTTTTATTTTTTTTTAAATGTGACATTTTAGAAGCAGTTTTTGCAAGTCCTTTTGGTGTTTCACAGCCTACTTGAAAGGATTTCAAGAAACTCTTTCTCTGTTGATCAGGCTTTGGTTTCGGCTTCAGTTTGACTCGTGGGAAGGGGAACCAGATGAGGACTCAAAATCAAACCTAAGAGGAAATAAGTGTGTTATTTTGAATCAGGAATTACAAACACAAACCAAAATCAGCAGGAAAAAAAAACCAAACACCACAAACCTCTGCAACAAAACAGCTTGGACTTGGATTTTGAACCACCTTGGTTGCCCTGGACCTGCTGGAGAAGCCCAGAGGGACAAAAGAAGTGTTTGAGGTGAATGTACAGGATCTGGAGAGGTGATGCCAAGGAGAAAGAATAGGTTTGATAAAGGAAGGTGGAGAGGTGTAAATGCTTTTTCCTTGTGGTCTGGGATTAAAGGAGAGCCCAGCCATGAGCACTCCTTCCTCAGACAGGCACACAGCAATTTCCCAGGCTATCAACCAGCTTGTAGGCTGCCCCTTTACGTTCAATTTAAAGTCCTCCAGGAGCAGGGATGAGGTTCTTCAAAAGAGTTGGATAAAATGATTTTAAAACTACCATGTTGTTAGTGCCATCCAAGGGCCTGGGAGGATTGATCCAAGCCCTTGAGCTCTAAAACTGTAAACATTTCCTGACCTATTTCTCTCCTGGCCTGCCTGGGAAAGGTCCAAGGGAGTGCTGAGGCCTGATCAGACAAACAAGGCCATGGGTTTACTGTGTGCTCATCTTCCCTTGATCTGTGTGTATTTGTACTTGAGCTTTTCTTTGTCATTAGTCTGATTCCCAAACACCCTGGTGATAACCAGGAACCTTCAGCACCAGATCCAGATGGATAAAACTGATGTAGTTTTTTAGAAGAGAAAACTGTTAGTAGTGGAGGTCTCTCAGGTGTTTCATAGAATCACAGAATGGTTTGGGTTGGAAAGGACCTTGAAGCTCATCTTGTTTCAACCCCTGCCAAGGGCAGAGACACCTTCCACTAGGCCAGGTTGCTCTGAGCCCCCTTCCAACCCAAACTATTTCATGATTCTATGATCACAAGATCACTCTCTGCAACTCCCTGGCAGGAGGGGGGACCCAAGTGGGGATCAGTCTCTTCTTCCAGGTGACAAGCAACAGGACAAGAGGACATAACCTCAGGCAGTGCCAGGGGAGGATCAGGTTAGGCATCAGGAGGAATTTCTTCACTGAAAGGGCTGTCAGGCTTTGGAAGGGGCTGCCCAGGGAGGTGGGAGAGCCCCCCTCCCTGGAGGTGTCCAAGGAATGACTGGATGTGGCACTCAGTGCTCTGGGCTGGGGGACAAGTTGGGGATTGGTCACAGGTTGGATTCAATGATCTCAGAGGTCTTTTCCAGCCTTGATGATTCTGTGATTCTGTGGGACCTTCCTTCTTCCTAATTGCCCCTTCATTACTCTCTGTCCTTCAGCAGTCCACTGCAGCAGTTGGTGAGGAGGAGCAGATGCTCTCTCCTTGCTGGGAGTTTTACTCTGACCTCACATTCCCATGGGACAAGCAGAAATCCCTCCCTGCTACCCCAGTGACTCTTCAGAACTGGGACAGAGGCCAGTCCCTTGATCACACCCTCATTTCCACTTATGGGGTTCCACAAACCTCATGTGTGACTTTCTGCCAGTGTATCCTGAGGTTACCCCTCCTCAGTGGTGAGGGTGCAGGGTGAGGGGTCCTTGGGCTTGCTGAGCCCTTTGCAGTGACTTGAAGTTAACAGATCTCAGGGGACTCATCTGTAAACTTGCCAACTCAGATTTTGAGCTGTCAGCTGCTGCTCTGTTTTACCAGTGATCCTGCCAAGGCAGCCTGACCTGCCAGATCCGAGGTACTGCCAGGAAGGATGAGCACCTTCAACATCACCACAGACATGGGGTTCAAAAATCAGTGCCTGTGCCTCCTTTTCTCAGGGCTCATGCCCACAGCTCAACTTTCCTAAGATCTCCCTGTTTTCCAGAAGCATTGCACTCTTTGCAGAGATTACTGCTTTGCTCTGACTTTTGGGACTTCATGCCTGCCAGGCTTCCAGCCACCTTGCTCTGACCACCTTCAAGGCTCTCTGAATGTGGTCCCATCCTCCTCTGCTGTCCAGTTTCTCCATGGGGGGGGACAGGGACTGCCTGTTCTCTTGTACAAGGAGACCCTGCCTGTCCACCAGTGCTTCTGCATCCTCAGCTAAGGGCATAATTCCTAATGGATCCATCACTGGCACAAGTGCAATGCCATCTGTGTCATTATGGTGTGACTGCTCCAGTCCTCAGCTAGAGAAGAACAGCAGACAAGGGGCAGGACAAAAGTTTGGAAATAGTCTCATTGTCACTTTTAAATATGCTCTTGGGTTCCCCAGCTTTGGTAACTTGGCCATGGCCCCTGGAGAAGCAGGCCCTGGGTGGTAGCAATCCAAATATTTCTCCCAAGGTCCAAAACCCGGTGTTCAGGTGGGCTTTGCCTCCAGCACAGGTAAAGGGAGATGGTGAAGAGCAAATGGAGAGGGTGCTGAGGCTGGATCAGGCACAGGAGGAGGGGATGAGGAAGGAGGACAGTGCTAAGAGAAAGTGGGCACAGAAGAGGGAAGCAGTTCCCATCCCCACTGAGCTCAAGGCTTGGAGCAACAACTCAAGTTTTCTAGCTAAAACCTCCTTTAGAGCCTTTCCTGAGAGGTGCCAGATAGCCCAGGGATATCCATACTCACATCCCTGCTTCTGTGTCTCCCTGCCAGGAGGAAGGACCTGTCTGTTCTCCCGGGGTGCCCTCTCTGCCCACACCACCCTGGTGTCCTGCCCTTCCTCCTCCCAGGAACGCAGCGCCCAGTTCTGAACTGATTTTTCTGACGACAGGTTTGTATTTTCTTGGCAGGATCTGAGCGAGTTGAACTCGACCACAGTGAAAAGCCCCACCAACACTGTAGCAGTGCAGAACCTCAAAGCTGGCACCATCTACGTGTTCCAGGTGCGGGCACGGACTGTGGCCGGGTACGGCCGCTACAGTGGGAAGATGTACTTCCAGACCATGACTGAAGGTGAGTCTGTCACCTCTGGGTAAAGGTGACACAGGGTCCAGAAAGCCATGGAGATGCACTGGCAGAGGTGCTGATCCCCTTGCTGTCAGCCCCTTCAAGGGTGTGTTGACAAGTCATGTGCATTTATTCAAGACCTGGAGAGAGGCTTGGCCATGGTGGTCCATGCAGACAATCCCATAGTTGGGTCTGATTTCTGCCCAGCTTTTCTGCCATGGGGATGCCTCTGCTTGGCTGGAGTTAGAGGAAGCAAACTTTATGTCTTCTGTGTGCCCAGCTGGTGATGACAAATGCAGACCCAGCTCTTAATTTTCTAAATTTGTGCTGCTAAATAAAACAGGCCAAGCCAGTTTTCCAGCCCTGAGGCCAAGGACGAGGCAGAGCACGTATCCATGGGACTAAATCTTCCTCCCAAAAGGGGTAGCTCCATCCAACCTGCCTACTTGGGGCACATCCCAGGCCTGAAACAGCAACACCTGCCCTGGACCAAAGGAAGCAACAGCCATGCAGATGTGGTGGGCTTTGCTCTGACTCTGATGAACTTGTGAGGGGTGACACGTTAACCCGCTCCCTCTTCTCTGTGCACCAGCTGAATACCAGACCAGTGTCCAGGAGAAGCTGCCGCTCATCATCGGCTCCTCGGCGGCGGGGCTGGTGTTCCTCATCGCCGTGGTCGTCATCGGCATCGTGTGCAACAGGTAGGTCACCTGAGCACACCAGGGCTGGGCAGGAGGCGGTCCCTGGGGCAGGGTGGCAGGGCATGGGGATGGGAAGGGCCCATGCTGTGCTCAGGTCTCCCTTCCTTTCCAGAAGAAGGGGCTTTGAGCGCGCGGACTCCGAGTACACCGACAAGCTGCAGCACTATACCAGTGGCCACAGTACGTACCGAGGGTCCCCGCCCGCCCTGGGGGGCCGCTCGCTCTTCGGTTTGTGTTCCTGTTCACTCATTCCTTGTTTTGGGGGGGGCTCAGGGGCCTCCTGGGGTGTGCATGTGTGGGCAGGAGCATCCCCTCACCCAGCCCCCTGATCCCTGCCCTGATCCCCAGCCCTGTGTGCTGGCCAGAGCCAGGGTGTGCTCTGCAAACCCCTGTGACATCCAACACGCCCCCTGAAGCCTCACCCTCTTCTGTGCTGCAGCTCCTGCCACCACCAAGACCATGTCTTGCTCCTCCGACTCCTCAGCTTTGCCCATCTGCTGGGCAGCAGTGAGACCCCTTCCCTGGCCTGTCCCTCTCCTGCAGAGTGCTGTCCTTCTGCAGGAGCTCACACCCCTTTGCTAGAGCCCATCCCAGTGCTCCCACATTCCCAGTAGATAGGAGCTGTATCTACGTATAGGTGTATAATACAATACCTAACATGCCCTCTCTTGCAGCCTCCCTCTTCCAACATCCAAGTGCAAGGCACTCCCTCAATCCAGCATTCCTGCTCCCAGCCTCACTGCACACCCTTTGCCTCACCTCAGTGCATCCTCTTTCCCCCATCCCAGGAAGTGTCCAAGGCCAGGTTGGACAGGGCTCAGAGAAACCTGAGATAGTGAAAGATGTCTGCCCATGGCAGGGGGTGGAACGAGATGAGGTCATTTAAGATCCCTTCCAACCCAAGCCATTCCATGATTCTATGATTAATCCCTGCCTGCATGTCCCTGAAATTCCTTTCTCCTCCCTCACTAGAGACACGTGGCTCTAATCTTGCTTTATTCCAGTCTCAGTTGTTATTTTCCTTGTGTTCCACTTGTAGCTTCAGCATTTCTGCCCTTTTAATAACCTTTTCCTGTACAAATCCAGACCTTGCTCAGAGCGTGGAAAACACCAGTAGTGTTTCTGCTCAGGACTCACTGTGGCTTCTCATTTATCTGGGAAACACCTCCCAAAAGGCAGAGCTCTGAGCAGCAGCCCCGTGGCCCAGCAGCCTGTGCTGGCTGCCTCGCTACCCCTTACCAGGAGAAATGACACTTTTCAGGAGAGATTATGAAAATGCAGCTCTCAGGTGTTTGTCAGTCCAGGCTGTAAACACACATTCACACATTCTCCTGGGCCTGGTGTGGGACATGACAGCTCCAGGCTGGGGTGGCATTGATAGCTGTGCCTGTACCACTTGGTGCCATGGGATGCACGTGAGCTGCTAAAGGGCCTGAGGTGCCTTTTAACCACTTCCACACTCAACACAGCTGTCCAAGGCTCAGTCCCTGCTCACTCCCCAGCAGTGGTTGCTGTGGGGAGACTACAGCAAATTGCCAAAGCCTGGGTAGCCTGTGAGCATTGCAGAACCCCCCTGAATCCAGCCAGCATCCTGGAGTTGGGACTCATGCTCTGGTGCTGTGTTGGGCTTCTTGTTTAGTGAGCTGTGAGCTCTGCTCTCCATATAACCCCCATTTTGGAGTGAGCCAGAGGCCAGAAAATGGGTATAGAAAGAGGAGACCATAGGTAAGAGCTGTCCCACAGGTGGTGTGGGATGTGGCAGCAGCAGTCCAGCCTCACCAGGTCCCATGGCCGTTGCCTTTCCCAGGACATGTCACTGTGTCCTCTGCTCTGCCCAGCAGGAAGAATTTGGTGCTTGCAATTTTCCTTGTGTCCTCCACAGCTTGTCTTGGCCATTTTGGGGCTCCCAAGAGGAAACCCAGCCTTGGGTTACCTGTCAGGAGAACAGACTGGACTGTCCATTCTGCTTGCACTGCCCCTGGAAGGGTCACAGATTTCTCATGGAGCAGTCAGTCTGCAGTTTGCACTCTGAGCTCACAACATATCCCCTCACTACCCCAACAATGATTTGTGAACTGATGTTCATTAAATCCAGCTTTAATAGTCCTATGAAACATGACTCTGCATGTTCCTTCTCAAACTGTTTCTCTGTTTCTGCTTTGTGCCCTTGATTATGCAACTTGCTGAGGCAGAAAGACCCTCGAGCAAACAAGTTTCTCTTTTCCTTGATGCCAACAATCTGTTGTTCCAGTTGCATCCACCTATCTGACTCTCTCCTCACCTTTGTGCAGTGACTCCAGGGATGAAGATCTACATCGATCCGTTCACCTACGAAGACCCCAACGAGGCTGTCAGGGAGTTTGCAAAAGAAATCGATATCTCCTGTGTCAAAATCGAGCAGGTGATCGGGGCAGGTAGGTGACCTGGGAATGGCTGGCTCCCCTCAGCACCACGGGCTCCTTCGTGCTCCCCGGATCAGGTGAGGATTTAGCCTTACCTGTACTGGGAAGACTGGTGTTTATTAATGTCTTAGCCTCAGTCTGGACTAGAAGGAGCAGCAGGGTGCAGTGCTGGAGAAACACGAACACCCAGTTCCCATGTGCAAATAGTCCCATATCCAGTGCTCCTCACAGTGATGGGTCTACCTGAAGGGGGGGTCTTTGGTGTGGAGGAGGGAGGAAGCAGAGATCAAGTGGTGGGTGGCAGCTCAGGGACGTGCAGGGCAGGCAGGGCTGGACCAGTGGGAGCTTGTGGGAAGCTGACAAGCCCTGCCTGTCTGTCCACAGGGGAGTTTGGCGAGGTGTGCAGTGGGCATCTCAAGCTTCCTGGCAAGAGGGAGATCTTTGTGGCCATCAAGACCCTCAAGTCTGGTTACACGGAGAAGCAGAGGCGGGACTTCCTGAGCGAGGCCAGCATCATGGGCCAGTTTGACCACCCCAACGTCATCCACCTGGAGGGCGTGGTGACCAAGAGCTCCCCAGTCATGATCATCACCGAGTTCATGGAGAACGGCTCCCTGGACTCCTTCCTGCGGGTACAGGATCCTGGGAGTGGGCAGCTCCACAAACTGTGCTGGGACAGAGGAGGACTGGGGGGAAGGTTCCCTCCCCAGTGCCCTTCCCTGCCCAGTGTCCCCTGGAGCAGCTGCTGCATAGTCCAGAGGTCTGTGGTGTGGGAACAGAGGTGGAGGTGCCACCTGTTACAGGTCTCATCCTAGGGAGAGGCTGTGCCCTCCTGCACACCCACAGTGCCTGTACAAACTGGCACAGAGGGACAGTCTGACGGAGCTTTAAGACAGCAGGACTTCACCTCCAGCTGCTCTGTCCAAGTATTTCTACTTCTGAGCTTGAAGTGGAAAATTGACTGTAGAAGGGAGATAACAGGAATAGATGGTCCCTTCTGAGCCCTCCTGTGCAAGGTGGGTGCACCTTTGGGTGACAGCAGCCACCGTGGTGATGCCCTTGGGGTGAGTGGAGGTGAATTCCAGCCCCTGTGAGCTCTCCACTCCCCTTTGGAGGGAATGTACACATTCGTGGCAGAGCTGTGTCTTGCCATGAGTGTGGAAAGACGCTCCTGGCTGTTTGCCTGACCGTGCCAGGCTGTGAATTTGCTCCTCTCACATGCTCTCCCCCTCTGTTCCCCAAGCAAAACGACGGGCAGTTCACGGTGATCCAGCTGGTGGGGATGCTGAGGGGCATTGCTGCGGGCATGAAGTACCTGGCAGACATGAACTACGTGCACCGGGACCTGGCTGCCCGAAACATCCTGGTCAACAGCAACCTGGTCTGCAAAGTGTCCGACTTTGGCCTCTCCCGCTTCCTGGAGGACGACACCTCTGATCCCACCTACACCAGCGCCCTGGTAACGCTGCTCTTCCAGAGGGAGGGATGGGTGGGAGGGTGAAGGAAGGAGCTGGAGGGGGAAAAGAGGGAGGTCGCTTTTTCGGGGTGTCAGCAGTGGAAATAAGGTCCCAGATGGGAAAAACCAATTAAATAAATGGAAGAAGATTCTCTCCTGCAAGGTCCTGTCATTCCTGGGGGTAGCTGAGCCTTCTTCCAAACATATATATCCCTGGCTGGAGATATATATCCCTTAGTTGGGATCATGCACTATACCCACTCAGTGGGATCCAGCTGGGGTCCTTTGAAATGCTGCCCTGACAGATTTGTTGCCAGGGCAGCAAGTGTGGGGTTTTTTGTCATCACTGTCCAGTTGTGCTGCCCTGCTGTCCAGGAATCCATCATCCTTCTGTCCAGGAATCTGTCATCCTTCTCCATGTCATGTCACAGGCTCAGCCCCAGGAGTGACAGACTGAAGTGTGGATGCATGCTGGGCATTCATCCCAGCAGTGCTAGATACTGATTCTCCAGAGAATCTGTATAAATTAGACAGAAACATTCCTAGAAATGACTTCATGAACATGTAACAGCTTCCCAGGAACACCCACAGTGCCAGTGACACAAGTGCCACCAAGGACTCGTGGCCTGTCTCAGGCTACAGAATGTTCCTTGGGACCAAAGGATTGTTTGAAGACTTGTTGCTCAGTGAGACTGTAGCCAGGACTTCTCATAAATATCACACAGCATGGCTCTGGAACAGTGCAACAGGATCAATGCCTAGGACAAGAATTCCTGGAAATAAGTGTTGGTATTGCTGGAGGAAATCATCCCTCCTGGGTCTTTTGAAGCTGCCTGGCATAGCTCTTAGTGAATTGTGTCAGCAGCTGAACACCAAACAAACACCAAAAATGTGGGGCTTTATTTTCTTCTGAACTTGTGTAGCTTCAAACATCAACTCTTCCATCTTACACAGGCTTAGAAACACTAATAATATTTATTTTTCATAACATGTTCCTCACAGCCAATTAATTTTCCCTTTGTTAAGTAAATACATGGTATTTATTGCTGTTCTCTATCCCTGCTATTGTGCCTGTAGCTTTTCTCTCTAATAATAAATTTGTCATCCCTAATTTATTCATCTTGGACTGTGGGCACTGTGGCAGGACATAGATTATCTGTAGTGACAGAATATGTGCACCTGCTGCATCAGAGAACTAGGAGGATCCTCCTCTGCAGAATCCCTGTCCTGGGATGCACAAGTGGGTTTTATTGTCACCATCCCTGGTGCCCAGGGGTGGCAACAGCCACAAGCTGTGGCATGGGAGGTTCATGGCTGAAGCCCTGGGTCAGATCACCACAGACATAGGAGGTCTCACCGAAGTGAATTCCTCTACAAAGAACTTCCAAAGTCTGTAATTTCTACTTTAGAACCTCTCTTTTATATATTTTTTAAACCCACTGCTTGCCATGAGCTCTGTCAAGAGTCTGCCTGATGGAGGGGACGTCACGCTTGGTGGGGAGTGCTTGGTCTTCCCCTCTTGTGGAAAACAGAATATTTTGCCTGAGATCTGTGGCTGTGAGAAGGTTAAGGAACATTATCTTTCTTCATTATTCTGGCATGTACTGGGGCTGAGTCCTAGGAGGTCCTAGGAGACCCCTAATAACACATACATAATATATTACACATACAATAACATATTAATTGACAAAATATAATGTTCTTTAATCTTCTCCCAGCCACAAAACATAGACAGTTTTGCTTAGTTTTCAGCCCAGGGGAAGAATTTCCCTTCAGAAGGTCCCTTGAGTGAATGGCTCAAGCCCAAAGCTCCTGGAGGGAAATCAGGAGGATGGAAGGGCTTAAGCAGAGCATGGCTCTGTGTGTGCCACTCTTGTGTTCTTCAGGGGTTGACTCCCCTGTGTGGGGAGTGGAGAGCCCTCATTTCTCCAGAGCTGGATGACAGAGCCCCCAGTTCCCACCCAGTCCATCCCATTTCCCACCAGTGACCCAGCAGAAGCTGTTCACTCCATCCTGGTCTCCAGAAACAGATCCTTCTGGATCATGTGTATCCACAAACAGACTGAGATACGAGGACTCCAGCTCAAAAATGATGTACCATTGACTTCAAGGAGCTGTTGAAGGCTGAAGAGGAAGGTGTTCTAATTCCATATATCCTGCTCTGGAGGTAGAGAGGTGACAGCAAAAGGATGGAGGGAGATCAATTTGGATTTTCCTGTGTTCCTAGACCTTAATTTTTCTACCCAAGTCACTGCTAGACCATGGGCATTTCTCCATGCCAAGGAAAACTGTAGCAGGAGGCAGGTGGAAGGAGCTGGTCTTGTTTAATGTGGTGAAGAGGAGGCTGAGGGAACCCTCTAAGTGACCTGGAGGAAAAAGACAGACTGTGTCTGTCTTTTATTATGTCATCTGCAGTGGCACCAGATGATATAATAAGGAGTAATAGGCAAAAATATGGCTTGTGAGGTGAATAACAGGAGAGTGGTGGGACAGGTCACCAAATGGGGAGAACCATCATCACTGAAGGCTTCCCAACTTGGCTGGACAATCCTCATCCATCCTGAAGTAGCATGAGAGATAGTCCTGTGGTCTCCTCCTTCTGGGGTTTCACCAGAATATTACAGGCAAACATTATGGACATTCATGTTTTCAGTTGCTCTCGCTCCTTCAGTTCCCATCCTCTGTCTTCTCCCTGCAGGGTGGGAAGATCCCCATACGATGGACAGCTCCTGAGGCAATTCAGTACCGCAAATTCACCTCAGCCAGCGACGTGTGGAGCTACGGAATTGTCATGTGGGAGGTGATGTCCTACGGAGAGCGGCCCTACTGGGACATGACCAACCAAGATGTGAGTTAAGAAACCAGGGGCAGAAACACTGAAATTGGGGGCATTGCAAGGTGAAAGCGTGGCTACAGCCTGTGGCATTCCCAGAGCCTTCTCTGTTGAGGGAGATGTGTCCAAGGTCAACACCTTTGGAAGAAGTAACGGGGATAATTTTGGGATTTGGTCTGGTTGCCTCGTGCTGCTGTAGCAGAGGTTGGGGACTGCTCAGCACCTACTGCAGCAGGATAGGGTTAAGGTGAGCAGGTGGTGGGCAGGTGCTGAGGAGGTAAAGGAACCGGGTGGGTGGAAAAAGAAATGTCACTGAGCTGAGAGCTCCTGGAGCAGTAAGCAGAGCTTCACCTGCAGGGATCACAGGCATTCCATGGGAGTCTGCTACAGAGACAGGAATGGTTTGGGAAGGAAGAGACCTCTAAAGATCATCTTGTCCAACCCTCTTCCATGGTCAGAGGAACCTTCCACTAGATGGTCATTAAACGCCCCTGGCAAGCTTGGACTGTGGTCTATAAGAAGCCAAGCAATTTATATGCAGCTAAAAAACAAACCCACAAGGTATTTCAGTATTTTTGAAATACTTTATGACTCTTCTCTTGAATTGGAGCATTTCTGTGCACTCCTTCCTCCCAGGGGGACAGTTTCCTTGCCTCCATGCAACGATGACCTGTGGCTGCAGCCACACCTTCACCATAGCAATTCTCCCTGTTCTCCTGGTACCTGGGCGGTCAGAGCCCACCTGTCTGGTGGCAGTGAGGGCCATGAGGATGCTGCACCTGCCCATGTGGGTCCAGAAGGTCTCTTTTAACACTGTCTCTGAAGAGCTCCCTTTCTTCTTGCCCTTCTTTGCCTCATGAACCCTCAGGATCTAATGCCAAGGTCCTAGGTGGACCCTTGGTAAGCCCAAGGCTTGTCCTCCCCTTCTGCTGCAAGTCTGAGCCTTGCACACCTGCCTGTGCCAGCGTCTACCTGGCTTCCAGCGTGTCTCAGAGCTGCCTCTGGGCAGTCCATAGGAAGCCTTCAGACTCACATCTCCATCTCCATCATCCTGTGGGCTCCTAAACCAGCTTTGCCTTAGAGGGGGAGAGTGAGAGCCAGGCTCCCACCTGACTCCTGCCTCTCCTCCTGCCCCTGGGGCAGATCAGACCTTTTCCATGTCAGTAGATCTCCATCCAGGCCACGTCAGGTTTCTCCAGGGTGGAAACCACACCCTGCTTAGTGCCTGGTGGGAAACTGTGAGTCCCTAAGCCTGGAGCAGGTAGATGATACCTGAGCAAACTTTGGCTGTTCACAGCCTTGCCCAAGCCCCTGCCATACAAGAAAAATCTTTGCATCAGTTCTTCAAGGCAGAGGGAGGGGAGCTGGGGGTCTGCCACTCTCAGCAAGGACAGTTCCCTTCCTGTTAAGGCTTCACTGTCACCTCAATTTCAAGCATTTCCTGCAGCCAGGTGTCACTGCACCTGTAGCCCTCTGCCTTCCCTCTCCCTTGTACTCCACAGAATCACAGAATCAACCAGGTTGGAAAACACCTCTGAGATCTTCAAGTCCAACCTTTGACCCGACACCACCTTGCCTACGAGTCCATGGCACTGATGCCACATCCAGTCTCTTCTTAAACACCTCCAGGGACAGTGGCTCCACCCCCTCCCTGGGCAGCCCATTCCAGTGTCTCATCACTCTCTCTGCAAAGAATTTCTCCTCCCTGGACCCCTTCCCTCCAAGGTTTCTCCTGCCACAACCCCAGTGCTGCATCGGCACCGATCCACCCGCCGGGGATGGCAGAGCCTGTTCCTGTCTCCTTGGCATCTCCTGCTGCCTGTCTCCCGTCCCCAGCCCCTTCTCCCACTTTTTCTGCTGCAGGCCATGGTGACATGGTGGCCCAGAAGCTGTCACCACTTAAGCCCAGCTGGTCCTCCCTGCCAAGGGTGCAGATTAGCCTCCTGACCCTGGGGTATGAGTGCCTGGGGAGGCTGGGGGAGAAGAGATGGAGACAGCAGCCTGTGCTGTCTGGTGGGAGAGGAGATGGAAAGAGCAGCCTGTGCTGCCTCTGTGTGTGCCTGGTGGCAGCAGAGCAGGCAGCTCATCCAGAAAGTGCTCAGTCTGTGCCAGAGATGAACACTTGGTCCTTGTGTGATGCTGCTGCCCAGCCCTGTGCCCCCTGTGCCTCCCCTCCCCACTGTCTTGGGTAGATGTAGAGCTGGGAGAGGGGTCAACTTGCACCTCCTGGGAGAATCCCTGAGCAGGAGCCAAGAGCTGCACAAAGCACATCAGTCATGGGATCATGTTGGAAGTTGGAAAAGACCTCTAAGGTCATGGAGTCCAACCATCAACCCAGCACTGCCATGTTCACCACTAAACCATGTCCCCAAGTGCCACACACCTTTTGAACCCTTCCAGGGATGGTGACTCCACCCTGCACACCCTGTTCTAGTACTTGACAACTTTTCCATGAAGAATTTTTCCCTAATAACCAATCTAAACCTCCCCTGGCACGACTTGAGGTTGTTTCCTCTTGTCCTGTTGCTTGTTACCTGTGAGAAGATACCAACCCCCACCTGGCTCCACCCTCCTATCAGGGAGTTGTAGAGGAGATGCCTCTGGTCAGACCATCACAAATCCTGTGGGGTACCACCATGTCCAACCAGGGCAGGGAAGGGCGGGGAGGATTCCTCCCACCTGGCACATTTTGGCAGCAGTGGTGCCAGCCCCCATGTCTCAGGTCAGCCTGCCCAGTACCTTGGCCACGCACAGCAGTGTCTGGAGAACTTCCCAGTGCATTCCCTGCCTGAAGGCACCATCCTTCTTAAACCCTGCCAGATCCCCCACCTCACACTCTGGATTGCTTGGCATGGGTTGGCCATCTGCCCTCCCTTGGAGGGAGCCTTCTACTGCCACAGCACCTCCAGTGCCTCCCCCCACCAACCCTTCCCTGCCTCTTTCCCATTCCCAGCTGCAGTATCCCTAATTTTCTCTAGGCAGCCTTCCTGCTCAACAATATATTCACCTCCACGAGTGTGTCCAGCCCTTCCCCAGGATGGGGACACAGCCCTGGGGTATCCCACCAGGCAGATCTCTGTCCTTGGAAGTGTGCAAGACATAGCCAGACAAAGTCATGGCAGCCTTAATCCCGTGGTGAGAGCAGCCAGAGACATCCAGGTCCTTCCTCTGGATCCCTGAGGGAAGTTCTGTCCCTCTTCCTCTCCTTTTCTCTCATTCCCACAGAGAGTTGGTCACTTCGAAATGCTGCTCCTGATTTCTGCAGTATCCTCAGGTCTGGTTTTTGTCCTCGCTCCTGGGTTTTGTTGCCACACAAGCCTGTTTATGGTGCCCAAGGCTCCTTCTCCTCGTCCTTCAGTGCCCGTGCTGTGCGTGGCCTAAAGGCAGGAGAATCCTGCCTGCACCTGCCTCTGTGAGAGGAACAGATGTTCCTGGAAGGTGGCACAGCTCCATCCTCCTCCATCACCCAGGAGAGGGTGGAGGGCTGCAGGTGCAGAGCAACAGGGATATGGGGAGATCCTTGAAGAAGATCCTCTGGCCTTTGTTCCTCTGCTGTTTCCACTGGATGTTGCAAGACTGGGCATTTTCCCAGGTCGTGTGGAGCAGTGAGGAGACACCCAAGCCTTGTGCCAGCCCAGATCTGCAGCCTGGGCTGCATCCCCTGGCACAACCCTCTCACTTGGCTGGGCTTGATTGCTGGCAGGAGTAGAAAACCCCTGGAGGAAGGAAAACACAGGGGCAGCTTCCCTGTCTGTAGGTCACAACCCTTCACTGGATGGGGACGTTCTCCCAGTGAGCTGCTGGGCTGGGTACCTGTCCAAACACATCACCCTGACTCACCTGCCTTGTGGCTGGAGCTGTGAGGTCACATATCCCAGCAGGGATGGTCTCTATCCCTAGATCAGACTGACCACCATGAGCAGCCAGCCAGGCTGGGTGTCAGCTGAGCAAGGCTGGTGTCACCTCCCAGGACACTCCTCACTGGAATGCCAGGGGCTGTGAGTTAAGTGTGTGGTGGGAGGGGGTTGGAGGGCACCAGAGAGTGCAGGCTGCAGCAGGGCTGGTCATGCCAGTCACCTTCAGGATCCAAGAGAGGGAACATTGTGAATTAAATAGGTTTTATCACAACTGCACTGATCTCTTTTTCCCCTCCTGCAGGTGATAAATGCCATTGAGCAGGACTATCGGCTGCCACCGCCCATGGATTGCCCAAATGCCCTTCACCAGCTAATGCTGGACTGTTGGCAGAAGGATCGAAACCACAGGCCCAAATTTGGGCAAATTGTCAACACCTTGGACAAAATGATCCGAAATCCAAACAGCCTGAAAGCCATGGCACCTCTCTCCTCTGGGTACATGTCTCTGCCTTCCCCTTGTTCTCTGGCTCCTCTGTGCAGTCCTGCTGTCCTTGGCTCTTGGTGGGCACCACCTCTGCATCTCTCTAGGAGCTGTGTTAGAGGCAGCTTGGCCTGTGTTTAGTCCTTTACAGGGTGGGCATTGAAAGATCACAGAATCCCAGAACAGTTTGGGTTGGAAGGGACCTTAAAGCTCCTCTCATTCCACCCTCCTTCTATGGGCAGGGACACCTTCCACCAGCCCAGGTTGCTCCAAGCCCCGTCCAACTTGGCCTTGGACACTTCCAGGGATGGGGCAACCACAGTTTCTCTGGGCAACCTGTGCCAGGGCCTCCCCAGCCTCACAGCCAAGAATTCCTTCCTTAATATCTAATTAAACATCTGATGTGCAGGGCAGAGAGCTTGGAATCCCAGAGATTCCTGTGACTGGCAGTCTGTGCAGATGTCAAGGTCACTCTGGTCCCTCTCCTTGGATGGGTCTGGTGAACACAGACAGCTCGTGGACAGTGGACTCTGCACACAGAGGAGCATCTTGGGTTCATGTACATCTGGGTGCTGGAGGAGTGTGGTTGCTCTGATTGTCCAGTCTCACATTCACAGAATCACAGAATCAACGAGGTTGGAAAAGACCTCTGAGATCCTCAAGCCCAACCTTTGACCCAACACCACTTTGCCTATCAGCCCATGGCACTGATGCCACATCCAGTGTCTTCTTAAACACCTCCAGGAATGATGACACCAAAATTCCCCCCCCCAAAAAAAAGCATTTTTCCCAAAACCCTCCAATTTTTCCAAAGAATGCTCAAAT